TATATATATATATATATATATATATCACAAAAAAAGTTTACGCAAAACATAAGTGATTACCAAAGAAAAAACAGTTTCATTCAGATTTATCTATCTATATAACTTTGTTGCCAATAGCATTACAGGTAGAACGTGTTTAAAATCAATCTTTGTTTCCGCAGAAAGTGTAGGTTTTAGGGCGAACACATTTAAAACCCGTATTATTTACTGCATATTATTAACATCTGTAAACTGACAACAAAAAATAAAAATGCTAGTTTAAAAAAAACAAAAAACTTAAAGTATCTAACTCGAGTCGAGTTTTGGTGGTGTTCATTTATTAAGATAACTTGTGCTGACTATAACAATACTTATACACGTAGCGTTGTTTTCCAATGGAAAATAATTACTTTCTTCATGACGTAGAAGAATGGTGAACACCATAGACTTTGTTTGTTTGATTGAAGTTAAGCACAAAGCTACACAATGGGCTATCTGTGTTCTGCCCACCACGGGTATCGAAACCCGGTTTCTAGCGTTGTAAGTCCACAGACATACCGCTGTGCCACTGGGGGCAACCCTATAGGCATTGTCCCCATTCAGCTACGATAATGGTATCGTCAGAATACAGAAGTAAACAGAATACATGAACATCATCGTGAGTTTCCGTGTTTCTCGAGTTTCACCTAATTAATTAAACATAAACTAAGATAGTTTGTTTTGTTTCAAAGACTCGCCCAAAGCTACACATGGGCATCTGCGCTAGCCGTCCTAAATTTTGAATCAACAGTATCCACCGCCAACTCTAATCGAAAATTGGAATTAGACCGTCATTCTTACAATGAACCCATGGCTCCAAAGAGCAGATCATGACTTGTCTTTATCTATTTTTTTGTTGTTGTTGTTGTTCATTTTATTTTATTAGAAAACAAAACTAAGAGGGAGATTTGTTTTCTTTTTCTAATGTCGCCAATGGTTTAAGTATAAAGAAACACTCTCGTTATTAGAATATACCCTTCGTTGGTTTGTTATTATTCGGAGGCTGGTATATATATATATATATATATATACGTGTGGGCCAAATCTACGTTACGCCTCCATACAACTAATAGCAGTTTTATGTCATCAAGTTTTATCTAGTGAGATAACAACAAGTGGCTTGCGTGCAGACCATATTAGTTTCATACAGTGTATGGTTCTAATTCTAATCTTCATATGATAAAGATTACAAATGTGACTTCAGAATTCTATGACATATTGTCATTACCAGATATAGTAGTATACCGTTGTACATCATTATTCTGAGGGAAACAAGATACAAATATAAAAAATACTTACTTGACAGAAACTCGTAAGCCTAGAGTAACAGATAATTTTTTGGCAAGATTTCAGCAGTAAAACAAATAAAAAGAGAGTTTATTAAAATATAGACTTCATAACCATCGTTGTTTGATTTATAATAATTCATGTGTTTTGGTAACTAAATGCAAAAAACCAGCCAACAAAATACAATTCAACTCTTTATATAATTCTGTGCTCGAAACTTTACCACGTGCAAAATGGATAATTCTATATTCTTGGGGTTTCTGATATGACGGTTTGACCCATGCCTCTCATAAGGAACCAGCCATTCAGGCTGAAAATACTAAAACTTGTTTCACGTTTAAT